TCCCATATTTTTTTAGCCAATCTTACTTTCCCCCATGAACATACATCGCCTTAAACCTATAAAACTACTACACGGGTGAGACTCATACCTTCAGAAAGCCCACCCTGTAGCAGTTTTAGCTAGTTTTATATACATACATACCTTTTCCTTTACGTAAGACTTTTGTACATGATGAGTTACAAAATCGAGCCCAGAGAGAGGTGTTACTCGTTATTTGCTTGCTTTTCCTAGTTGTTGTGTGTTAGATACGTTCATAGCTTTTAGCTCTGTCTGTCTCTGTATTGGAACTAAAAGTAGTTTGATGAATAGAAGGTTGTCCCCTAGTACAAAATGTCATCCATCTTCCCTAATGATTCTCTCTCTCGTACGATGTTCGTACTTGGCTGAAATGGGACCTTGGTTTGGTGGATTGGATGGATGGAGGAATTGTAAATCTGTGCACCTTTTGCTTCGCTTTATTATTAGAGAGAGAGAGACCCTTGTTGCTTAATTCTTTTGAATTTCTGTTTCCTATCCCCGAGACCAAGGGACACCTGGCCAAGTGACTGACTGAGTATAAGTCCAGGCCGGACTTCATAATAATAAATAGCCCTCGGCAAACGAAACTCTGAGAGCGGCATGAAAAATAACTCGCTTTTTATTATCATCACCAAACCAAAAGCAAGGAATTACTACGACGAGCGAGTAAAGTAAAGCTCACCTCGGTGAGTGCGTATTATATGCGACACTTTAATATGTATCGTTGTGAAATAAGTAAGGTAGCCTGGCGGTGAGATGATGATGACGGGTGGGTTGGTTTTTGGGTTTGTAAAATTATGTCGATTTTTGGGCGAGAGGTACCAAAATCAGTCAGATTTTGGGGAGGATGTGTAAATCACTGGTAGAATGAATGTGACATCTGCCTTCTCCCTGCTCGTGCCGGTTTTTCAATTTTCAGGGAAAAAATTTTTCGGAAATTTTATTTCCCAAAAAATATAGAATAATAAGTTTCCGAGAAAAGTTACTAGATATGAATGAAGCGAAGGTAATTCGAGATAACGTGTACCGTATAATGGGGTCACCTCTACCTCTCTCGCTCCCCTCTCTTTTTCTCATTTCTTTATGTTTTATCACCTTTTGTGCACATTAAAGAGCAATTTTTAAGATTTCGGGCGAGATCGGGACATAACAACAACTCATCTCTCTCTTGAGGACAGATGTTCCCACTCACGTGAAAAAATAGGCAAGGAGAGGAGAAGAGGGCAAAATAATAAAATGAGGAGGGTGGCCCGTCGTCATTGGGAAAGATGTAGGAGACGAAGAAAGAGGATCCAATTTCATCATCATCACATCGTTCTTATCCATTGCGAAATTATGTGGGTTGCGTAATGTGAGGAGGAACGTGGTTTTAATGGGAAAAATAAATTCAAAATTTCACAACAGTAGATTTCCTACGAATCTAAACTTATAAAGTAATAAATGTTAATAATCTAAAAATTGCAAAATTGGCATCAAACCTATTCCGAAGAGAAAGTAGTTCGAAAAATTGATTTATATTCTTTCCATCTTGTAATCAAATATATAGAAATTTACGAAATAAAACGATAATTCTGAAAAACCAAAGCATTTGTACATACATACATCGAGTGGAATTAAATTTCCTTTTGTATTAGTTCTTTTCTTCTCCTATTCATAAACTAGGTTTTCTTGTCCATATATCAACCACAGATCAACTCGGTCCTCCGTATCCGGCCCAGTTTTTCGCAGCAATATTAATAATCATACTTCATAAAGTACATGCGTAAGGACCCAACCCGTCTACCGTTTCATCTCACATTTCTTCTGTAAAGGACCCTCGAGTTCAAGTTTGCTTTTGGCCCAGCCAGCCAGGTAGCAAATACATAAATCCCCAGGTAGGCAAACAGGGTGCTTCTCCTTCTTCATTTCATTCCTCCTCACATTTCCGTCTATTTCATTTCTCATTTCTGTCCTGAGGGAGGACACAAGACTTACTTGAACCTTATGGACATTGTACATACATATTTTCCTGCAGGAAAGGTGAGCCTCGTTACAGCAGCCGTCCCTGGTTTTAAGCACAAAAGAAGCCGAGATTTCCCTTCAGGATTAGGATACATACGTACGAACGCAGTTGTTTATGGTGGGTACTTGAAGGGTACTAGTAGAGGAATTTTTTGGTTTTCGCTACCATTGAGGAGTTCTCACGGTGTGTCAAATTATGGACCCTTACCTTTCATTCATGCTTTACTTTTACAGAATTGAAAACCTACACAACAACCTCCTCTGGTGCTGACTGGAAGGAATTCTTACCTGGAATTTTACCTTAAAAGTAAGAAAATAAGAGACATTCTTACCTGTAAATAAATATGTCGTGGGTGGATTGGATATTTTTCTCAATGTAATAACACACCAGTTTTATTTTATTTTTTGAGCACCATTTATGAGCTTTCTTTATTCTTTTAAGTATGTAAAATGTAAGTCTGATACGGAATCGGGTGGAGGTGGAGGAGGATTTTCTTATTATTACGCACAAGTTATTGCTACGATTATTGTTATTGTGATGATATCTGGCTTCTCGACTCGCGGCTGGGTGAAAGACGAGAGAAAAGAGGAAAAACCAGTTATTTTTCCTATGAATGAATGAAATCAACTAAAGTCAAAATGGATGAGATTCAAGAGGATGAATGAAGAAAATGAATGAAAAGAAAGCAAAAAGAGAGAGTGGTTTTAGGTGAATTGGAGGGCGCGATTGTAATAATTATTATATTCCAGGCGAGACAAATTAGTGACATTATGTGTGCAAAATTAGCCAAATTAGAATGAAATTAATTCCAAAAATGGGCTAGAATTTCATAAAAAAATATAAAAACTCTTCCAAAATTAAATTAACCCCATAAACCACCACACATTATTAAATCCTTCACGATGACTTAATCCGTTACATTATTTATTGTTACAAAATTTAACTATGTACGTTAACAAAAACCAAATTGAATTTTGCTTCCATTATATTTTCCTTCCTCCTTCTTAAAAAATATGTATCCATTATGTCTCCCTCATTTTTTTATTCATCATTTTACTTACAAAATTAAAAGTTAAAATGAGCCAAAATAACTCAACCTTAAAATTGCCAATTTAACTATTTACCTATTCTTTACAGGAAAAGTGAATAATAATGAAAATAAAATAAAAAAATTGAAAAAGAAGTTCCACCACTAAAGCGAAACCATTATTATTATTATGAAAACGGTGAGCCCTTTATACTCTTTTATCATCATTTATTTATTCCGTATTATTATGCAGTACGGACTACGGAGAAATAAAACCAACAACAAAAATACTGTACACGTACACACATCGCACCACCGCAAAATAAGAAGAAAATGGATAACAACACAATGCATAACCAAGTTTGGTTAGTGGACGAAGAGAAGAAAAAAGCAAACTTGAAACTTTACAGTCAACAGTAATTTCGTTCGAAAAGTTTGTCTACTTTTGAGCAGTTTGCTTAAGTAAGAAACTCACCCAGGCAGAAATTCTGGGAAGTATTTCTTCATTTTCATTGTATTATTATCACTCGGGGTGGAATTTGTACACAGGAAAAAGTTAACTTAGTTACTTTTCTAGCATGACAAAATATGTAGATAAGTGGGAAAAATATCGGTAATAGAATAATCTAATCCTGTAATTCATCACTCCCTGAAATTGGCTCATCATTAAATTTAAATATATGTATTGCCCCGAATCAATTCAATTCACGGTTTGAAAAAATAATTTGTAAACTTGTATCTCCTTTTTTCAAGAAGAAGTAGTAATTGCGAGGCCAGTTTTCAATAAAATTTGTACCAAAGTAAATAAGTGGTGGTGTCGAATAATGAAAAATATGATAATAATACCGTAAAAAAGTTGGTTTATTGAATTGAATTCAATGAAATGGTGGTGGTAATGGTGATGATACGGACGGATTATGAGAGAGACCAAGCCAGGCAACAGGACAAAGAGGTCGGAACGTAATAGTGGGACAAGAAGAAGGACAACTTTGTAAAAGAGAAGCACTTGTTGAAACTACTACTCTCTCGGTCTTTTTGGTGGTTTGGTTTGGTTTGTAATGTGAATTGAATTGAATGCAAATCTTGTATGGGTTTTGCTGGATGGAGAAATTGGCAGGGTGACACATATCCAACCCGGGAAGGATGAATGATGAACAATACTTGCCAATTTATAGGGAGTACATAAGGAAATCCTAAATTCGGATAAATACAACAATACCTCTGAGCACAGAATGAAATGAATCCTGGCAAGTTTTGTGGGTATGAATTTACCTGATTTTACAACCAAACCACAAAACCGTTATGTATCATCATCATGATTGACTTGATAGTAAAGTTTATATTATTAGTTGCCAATTAGTGTCACATCTCGTTATGTGTGCATCCCCTCCTAAAATCTGTCCAACTTTGCGTGTTACGTAGATACGTGGCATGATTTTATTTTACTTTGTGTTTTGTCATCATATCCTCGAGTCAATCAGAAATCAAGTTTCTGTTTCACCCACACTGCATACACCAGACCACCAAAAGTAACAAAAGGGGATGTGATACACATCCAGAGATACTAAAATCCGACCAAAATCCTCCCACAAAGGAAATTAGAATGATGATTAGTTCACTACGTTGTTCATCTCTGCGGAATATGATTTTTTTTACGTTACGTGGTCGACGATTTGATGCCTGGTTGGTTTTCGGTTTTGATTTTGTTTCTCCTAATTAGTCGGCCTTGCTAATATGTAGTAAATAAAGAGTGGATACGTGCAGGGTCGTGTGGCGACTTAACATCGCCGCAAGCATGTGTACGTAACTCTAGGAGCCAATTACTTATTTGCCTTTATCGACAAGAAGATCACTATCGCCACGTGTCCCTCTTCGTTATTGAATGTTGAGCAAAATTGAGCAAAACGCAGCCAACAACATCTGTCCCAAAAGTGGATGCATAAAGGTGCGTTTATGCTTTCTGATTAATTGTAGCGATCTCTTAGAGAATTGATAACCGACGGGTTTTTAGTTCCCGTCCTCGTTACATTCGCGTCGCCATAGCGGTCGCTATGCAATTCGCCATGCGGGTTTATGCATTGTTTCCTCCTTCATTTCACGGCACCTTCACGATCACCATGAAAGTTGAACAGAGTTCAACTTTTACACGGATGAAGGAGCAAGGAAATTTTTAGAAACCATTACAATTTTATAAATATTTCCATTTGCGATTTCAAAATTTTACAAAATGACTACAAAAGTGATATCTATATATAGTGCGCCCAAATCTCCACTGGATCTGGAAGAAAAATTAATTCTTCTAGTTCAGCAACGTCCAGCACTGTACGACAAGAAGGATCCTGCATACAAAAATAGAAACACTCGTGCGGTGATGTGGGAGGAAATTGGAAAGCTACTAGGAAAGACAGGTCAGTTTGTTTTACTGCAGAGTCTATATTCTCACTTGTATTAACTCTAAAAAGGCAATTTTTCAGAGTTCGATTGTCAACAACTGTGGACAAAATTACGCAGCCAATTCAGCGGATTCCTGCGCAAATTACGCAATCCAAGTGGAAAAGAGGACAAGCCACGTCCCTTCTTCCGGCATGAAGGAGCAATGCGTTTCATCCGTGACATTGTTGACCCGGATGAAAGGTAATAGTAGTTTATATTTAATTGAGTAATGAGTTGGTTAAATAATTTTGGTAATGACACTATCTCTAAACAAACAGTACCGTGTCCAATCTCGTGACTGAAGATGATTCTTCGTTTGTGGATATGCATGGACCGGGGTCGGAGATCCAGATTGAAGTGATTGACGTGGATAAGCTCCCCGAAGATTTTGACCCACTCTCAATTGAAGAGGAGACAGCGACGACTTCTGTACTTGTACCACGGTCACAACCAGCTTTACCATCGAAGGTATTTGAACGAGAAGAATCATTTATATTTAGACAACAATTATAAATAATATCAATTACTCTGATTTAATTCGTAGAAACGAAAATTGGACGCATTTGACAAAGAGATGCTGGATTTGCTCAAATCAAACGATGATGAACACGACAGCTTCGGAAAAATGTTGGCCCCAAAACTGCGGAGAATTGCAGATTTAGACCGGAAAGTATTTCTCAATCTTCAGCGCAAAATCAATGATGCAGTGCTTGATGCAGAAATAGAACTTCTTGCGTAATTATACAGCTCTAAGTCATTAAAATGTTTTTAAATAATTCTGGCTTGTTATTCAAAAGTTGCAGTAAATAAATCCTTTGTTTTTCATGAACGAGATTTTATTTGCAAAAATCATATTAAATTAGGCATTTTAACAGATAAATTATGAAATTCTTGACATTTGCCATGAAACACTACCCTCATTACTGTTAAAATATTCTAAAAATCTGTCCCGTACAAGTACAGCTTCTAGACGCCGGTTATTGCTGCCTTGTTGCCGCAAAGAGATCATTCCCGTGTCCCCAGTGGTAGTCTCCCTCCAATTTCCCGTGGTGTTCCCATCATCTGAATCCGCCGTTATCGTATTCATATCTTGCTTATCAATAAGCAAATTGTGGAGAATTACTGCGGCATTGATTACGAGCCTGGTTAAGTCAAGTGATGCAACTATTGGCGTGTGAAATATCCTCCATCTAGCAGCTAACATCCCGAATACATTCTCCGACACATTTCTCGCTCGAGAAAGACGGTAATTGTAAATACGACGCTCCAGGGTGAGAAATTTTCCTGGGAATGGCTTCATCATGTAAGGCTTTAAAGCAAAATCGTCATCAGCCACGATAACATGGGGTTGGAGGTGAGGTCCAACTATTTTTGGCTCTGGTAGCCCCAATTTTCCATTTTCATGCCTCTTTCCTATTTCCGATCGTCCAAATACGCCTCCATCTGACTGCGAACCCGAGGCTCCAATATCCACAGCAGAAAATTTGTATTTATGGTCGACAACAGCCATGAGAACAATGGAGAAGAAGCCTTTATAATTGTGGTAAGTGGACCCCGAAAAATTTGGTGCTTGAATTCTGCAGTGTTTCCCGTCTACAGCACCAACGCAATTTGGAAAATTCCACCGAGTTCGGAAGCCAATCTCATTGGTTATCCATTGATCAGTTGTCGGTGGTGGTAGATGAATGTGGCCGAATATTTTCACTATTGCTTGCAAAACTTCTCGTAGAATCTTCGAAACTGCTGATGGTGATATTCGATAACTGAAGGAGAGAGAGATTTGGGAAGCTCCGGTGGCAAGAAATCTAGTAGATAGAGGTCATTTTCACTCAGCACTTAACTATATTTGATATCAAATTATTACCTTAAAGTTATCCCAAGTTTCTCTTCGACAGAAATAGGTCGGCTATGGGTCATTTTTCCTGTAATTTCCCCAGTAATCAGCATCAAAATCTCATCAAAGTTTTCCATATTCATCCTGTAAAATGTATTAAAAGTTTGATATATTGAGAAACAACTTTGTATATGCATTTTACCGGAAGTAACGGTGATGATAATGAGGGTCTTCACGCAATTCTTTCATTAAAATGCTGTCTCCCTGGTCCACTCGATTCCAGAACATAGGCCGGATTGAAGCAGCTCGCACTTTTCGCTTCAATTTTCTTCGAAGTCTCCGGAGAATCAAGATTTTGGTAATCAAACGTCGATCGGGGGCCGGCATAATTGTTTTTGTGAGATTATGAAATGGCTATGATTTTTTACGGGTTTTTACTTTCCCTTCGATGACCGATAGCTAAAACTAGCGTTGAGAGAAAGCGATCGTAAAAACTACAGAAAGTGTAAACCCGTTATGAAGGAAGGAACGCTAACGCTATGGCGACGTTATGTAACGAGGACGTTAAGCATAAACCATACTTAAGTGATTGTTCTTCTAAGTAGTTCATTACCGTCGTAGATAGATATTTAGTCCTGCACTCTTGTTGTCTGTCATCCATTAGTGGATTTCCAAACAATACGCATCCACCCATCCACCCACACACAGAAACCAAAGTCGTCGTCGTCGCGCTGTCTGTTATATTTAGTTAGTTAGTTAGTAGTTAATTAATTAATTAGAACAGAACGAACTGATTAATTGCACGCATTGGGCCGTGTCGTCGTACATACGCAGATCTGCACCGTCATTGGATCTTCCTTCATATGGCGAATGCATAGTTATTTAGAACTTCGTTGTTACTGCAGCTGACTCTTAAACTGAGGATGAGAGATTCTCATTTCATGAGAATAAAATCACTCCATTGCATTAAATACTACATCCCTCGGTAAATGAGTTGATAAGTAAATTCGACACATTCCACCACATGACATGATGCTACGGACTTGATCACCTCGTCGCCTTGCTGAAGCGTAACATTAAATTCACACACAATAAACTATTTTACTTCCCCAAAAAATCTGTCATGATTATGCAACCGAATAAGTAAATACTACATCCATGTGATGCAAAACGAGCCCAAAAATCACAGGAAATCCCGAATTTCGTACTTTTCCCCAATTCATGAAAAACAACCGCTATAAGAGGACAATTAATGCCATACTGCGCACCACTAATTATTGTGTATATTCCCATCATCATGGCGATGCCTGCCATTTATTCTCGAGTCATTCGCCCAAAAAAAGAGACAAAAAGATGGGTTGCTGCAGAAAGGTGATGGTTGGTTTTCGTCTTTTTCGTGTCTGTTAATTACCGGTTCACTGAATCTCTCTGAAATAAAATAAAATAAATGAATTCCTACTCTTCCACTTTGAGAAAGAAAACGTAGAAAAATTCTCTCTCTCTCCCACTATTAAACAAATACGAGGATGAATTGGCTTATTTTTTTCATCATAGTCGTCATCGTCATCGTTGACTCGTTCCCAGTATAAATACACATCTGCAGTATTTTGTAGCAGGGATTCTTTCTACTGGTTTCGTTGGTGGGTTGGTTGGTTGACGATAAGTGAGATGAGATCGTATCACGGAACATGAGGAATTCTTACAACTTTGTGACTTTTGTGAAGAGAGATTCTTACTTTACACAGGCAGTAAAGTAATGTAATGCTAGCAGTGGAATGGAATATGTATATATAGCGTTTGAGTTAGCGACTCAAAGTCTACAAAATCTGTGCGGAGTGAATTTCCATGTCTTCTTTACAGCAGTCAGGAATGACTCTTTCCCTCAGGATGAACATGGTCATGTCGCATTTATTACGGAAAAGCTGGCTGGGCGAATATCTATGTAACTTGGTTGGAGAGAGAGAAGGAATCAATATTTTGAGGACAATGGAGACACAGGAACCAACTTTAGCAAGGAAACCAACCAGCACCAGCAACGTTATGGGATTGATTTTGCTAAAACTAAGTCGTAAAAAAAGAGAATAATTTTCCGAATATATAAATTGTCCTGTCCCTCCTAATAATTAGTGTGAGTCAGTAATTTCTCTAAAATCAGGCTAATTACTAGCCAACCCACCCCACTCTATTTTTTTTAGATTCGTAACAACACAGTCTGTCGGGTTGGGGTCGTATCGTATTTACTAAAAAATTACTTGAGCACTTACCACTTATTTCATTTCCTACACGGTCCTGTCATGAATGAATCCATGTCATGATTAATTTTCAATTTGCAAAACCAATCTATCAAAAAAAGAAGGAACGGAACGCATGTTAGACACGATGGTTTAATTTTATACTTTATAGATCACGACCAACCCAATCAAACCACCACGTCCAACCCAATATTGCCATCTCTGCATACATTGACCGTGACAAATTCCGTAGAAAATATGCAAGTATTAAAATGAAAAAGGGAGACTTTGTCCTTGCCATGCGATGGAACCCTTTTTCGTCCTCGAACCGTCCAACAAGCAGCATTCATTAGTTGGTATTTAGATTTTACTTAGGGAATTATGGATCGGTGGATTGGACATGTTCATACATACATACATTTTATAACTTGTAAATAGTAGTAGGGATTTGTGGCTGGCTGAATAATTCCACGAGATAATTACCACGAGATGAGATGCGATGATGATGACGAGATGACTACCAAAAACCATGCCATGCCATGGATTTGGATGTAATGGTAATGTTGTTAGATGGGGTCAATCACGACGAAAAGAGAGATAAAAAGTTTTTTATCGTCATCATCTCATCTCATCTCGCTCTCATCTGTGTGTACCGGGTAGCATCATTATTCATTATCACAACTATCCATCTTTTTTATCCATCGCTACCACCACCACCACCAACAAATTCCATCCTGACCAAAACCAAATCTAATTTTGGGTACGGAAATATTTCAAAAATCCATATGCGTAATAAATTCCTTCTAAATAAATCTGACGAGAGGAGGAATGGCTCCCTTGTGAAAATCACTTAGCAAATTCCCACAAGCTTTATGAATCTACGATAAAGACAGGCAGACCACACCACGAGTAGATCACATCACGTCGAAAAAAGCAACAAAGTAATAAAAAAAATGCTTATTTTTCATGTAAGAATACTGTTTATATTACGTAATGAAAATGACTAGGAAAAAAATTGGGGAAAAATATGTACGTATTTTGAGTATTTTCTTCTTGCTTCTTCAATGAAAATGACTAATAAAAAAATCTTGGTACCTAGATATTCTAACCATTTTTTCTTCTTGTTTCTTCTCCGAATTAATTACAGGTTTACCCCATAATTAAAAAAAGAAACTCTGAGAAAGAAACTTTCCACAAAAAAGTTCACTTTTTTCCTCTCCCCACTTATTCCCAGAATTTTCCCTCCTCTCGATAAATAAATACTGTTCTGCAAAGTGAAAGTTGTCTCCAAGACCAAGTGTTTCCCGAGATTAGGTTCAGAAACTTAGTTGCTCCTCTACCCACCTACCTACCTAGATGAATAGAAAGCTGGGGAAAACGAACGAGGAGGGGGGGATTACTTTTCAAAGATGGGCGAGGAAGAAGAAGGTGAGTCTTGCACTAATTTGACCCGGGATGAGAGAATCCTCTGGATACGTCCCTAAGTAAAAAGAAGGGAATAAATGGGAATAAAAGAGGTCTGAAATAAATCCGGAGGAATTTGTCATTTCACTTAGTTACTTGCCATCCAAATACACAACTTGCAACCCAACCAGTAGCTTTTCGTGCAACATTTTCCCATTACAGAATCCTCGCCGTTCTCAACTTGCCGTTTGAACTGCATCACATAACGTGATGATGAAAAAGAAGGGGAGAAGAATTCTCATCCTGGGCTTGTTATACGGCAAGCTTTTCGTGGCGTCGCGAGCTACCAGCTCACTAACGCTCGTACCACTCGTCGTAAAATAGGACCAACCCCATAGGCCGGCGTTACTCGAGGGAACAAAGAGATTTGGGAGGATGTAGACACCGAGGTGGAGTTTGGTCGAAAACTGGGCAGAACTTTCGAACTTGCTTCGAACAGTCTCTGCTTCACATGAAAAGATTTCTATACAATTGGTTTAGTTGGCTCACAAAGGTGAATGCAGCATATACACAACTTCTCCATCCAGAAAGAGCAGTGGTCGTAGTAAAGTAAAGTAAAGAGCAAAATCTCTTGCTCTATTCACCCACAAAAATTATTCTATACAAATAAAATCACAATCACGCGAGACAGACGGGAGAATAGAGAATAAAAAAATAATACTTTTCTTCTTCTTTGAAGATCAACGACAGCTTATTGCACAGTGTTTGATAATAGTCTGGAGGAAATAATGAAACAAGATAAAATGGTATTTAAATAATTCCGTGGTGTTGTTTTAAAGGGAGAAAGTTGAGATTTGGAATTGGACAAGTTTGACATCACTTGTGAGAATTTTATTTTGTGTGGATATTTAAAAAGGGAGAAAGTTAATATTTTCGGGAACAATAATATTTGTTAAAAACGACTTGGTTTTTGTGCAAAAGTGATTCTTTTTTTCAGTGTTAAGGTATAATTTATGTATCGTGTAAGAGACATAATAATGACTTGAGATGCACATAATTATCCACCACGCTCCGGCAGAAGAGTAATTTGTGAGGAAAGTGAGACTTTGTGTTTGTGCCGAGGAATCATAATAATAATTAATCAGAATGGCCGCATTTTGGCGTGGTGACCTGACCCCACTTGACCCCTCGGGGTCACCTTTAGGTGTCCATCACCCCTCCCACGGGGGCATGTTGCTTGACGATATGAAACCCTCGCCAGCCCAACTAGTCCACGCGTCCCATCCTTCGTACAATTTAGACTTGGTGGCCCGTGGTGGTGGGGGGCACCACCCTCACTCAATTTCGCCCAGTATGGGCGGTGGGATCCATGGTGGCGGCATGACCGCTGCGGCGTTGCATCACCACCAGCAAAACGGCGGCCTCCACCATCACCCCCTGCACCCTGGCAGTATAAATAATAACAATAATAATAACAACAACCATCACCCGGGTAGTGGTGGGCATAATACGCATCCCCACCATACCAAAGCGGGACCGGGTTCGGGGGGAAGCACGGGGTCGGGGGGAGGTTCAAATAACAACAATAATGGACCAGAGAGGGTCAAAAGGCCGATGAATGCGTTCATGGTGTGGTCAAGAGGTGAGAATTTGGGGTTTGAAATTTCAAATAAAATTATGGTTAGATTTTGCAAAATATTTGCGATTTTTTTCTGAGAAATGCTTTTCATAATAGAGTTCAGTAAAATTATGTATGGTTAGATTTTGCAAAACAAGACCAATATTGCGTAAACAGATAAGAATTCATACCGACCTTTGACCTAACTCGATCTCAATCTTTTGTTTGTGTTGCAGGTCAGAGAAGGAAAATGGCGCAGGAGAATCCAAAAATGCATAATTCCGAGATCTCCAAGAGATTAGGGGCTGAATGGAAACAGCTCAACGAAACGGATAAGCGCCCCTTTATCGATGAAGCCAAGAGACTAAGGTATGAGATGTATGTACTTGGAATTATATTTTTTGTCTGATTTTACTACACAAAACACACTACTTACCTGTCTCTTCCTATAATCTAGCGACTTCTTTGATAACGATATGCTCTTATCTTTATCCGTGTCTGTATATTCATAAAAGGGCAAACGTCTTACCTACTACACTTACTTAATTAAGGATAATACACATTTTAACAAGCACCTTTTTTATAATTTTTTGGTCCTCTCATTAACTCATCGGTCAGGTAGAAATACACATAAATACTAAGCTAAAGTACTACTTGACCTCTACCTAATTTGACCACCGGCATCGTAAAAAAAGCTTCATATGTACACACTTCACTACCCTAAAAAAACTTTACCCTCCTAAAACAAAGCCCATCCTCCTCCTCCCCTAGAATTCTACTCACACGGCTAAATTTTTCCCACTTGACATGAGCCAGGAGGAAGACGAAGGGGAGAGAAAAACGGGCCAGAAACCTAAAACTAAAGGCGTGTTTAGCCAGGGCAAGGAACACAGTTTGCTTTTTGGGGTAGGAAAAGACGGCAAGTTTCGTACGTAGGTAGGTGATTTTAGTGGTGGATGCACTTTCTCCCATATTTTATAGGCTTTCTTCTCCACAATACCCGCAAAACCCGGCTTCTTTCCGTAGTGAAAGGTAGTGGTGGTGGCAGAGCAAGTCTCGTCTTCTTCTTACACAATGGCATTATTCCATCGTCGCGAAATTGTGTGACATTCATTCCCATTTCATTCATTCATTCATTCCCTTCTTCTTGGTGATGAAGATGAATTGAATAATGCAAAGATTATGTGAATTATCGCGTGATGAATTGATTTTATTCAGGGCAGATTATTTGAAAAAAAGAAGAATTATTATATCGATCATACGTACATATTATTGCACTTTCTCGTAAAACGTAGGGGATCACTCGCTCAGAGTTGATCTCCTTAACCGGAAATACATTACTTTACTGCTTGAAAGAGCAAGGGCACACGAAGTTAAATACGACGGAATACATAAAATAATGTTGTCTCTCTTGGCATGGGCTCAACATTTTATTCATGAATCACTACTACCCCGCCGCTGTGTGACCTGTGGGATGACGCTTTATGTTTCCTGAACTTTGAACTCGTACGCGATCAATCCATTTATGTAAAAGTTTGATTGAGCAATAAGACACGGAACGAGAAGAACAATCCTGTATTATGATAAATTGGGCATACATTTTTATATAAAAATTATGAATCACAATGGGGTATGTAAATTCTTATCTATTTAATACCTTACCTTACCTCCGACTTATCAACATTCTCCATCCATTTCCTGTCCGTCTAGGAGAATAATAAAGAGATTAGTGTGTTACTTAGTTATTGCGTATGTGTTGCTCGTTCGATTGGACTTGTGAAGGACGATGGAAATATGCTTATTCTCGAAAAAGTTTATAATAAAGGCAATAATGAAGAAGGATGTGTATGAGACGAAAAATCAGCATTTTTCCACACAAAAGATTCCCTTCATGGCAGGAGCCAGAGGTTTTGATAAGGTTGGAATTTCCAGCGATAAGCCGAACCACGTACGTCGTTCGTCTTTGTGTCGCTCAAGCTAAAAACGTAGTAGCAGACTCTTTCATATCATTGTTTCAATTTTGAATTTCATTTTTCTCAACTTGTTTGCTTTCCGCGATGATGCCATGAATTATGAAAAAGTTGACAAAACTGGGTAAATATGAAAATCATCACGTCACTTGATCACGACCAGGAAAAAGAAGGGTTTGGTCCCTCGAGCTATTTGATTTGACCAAACATTACAGAATTTCTTGTTCATTGGCTTCATTCCGGTTCCACACGCTTTTATTATTTTGCTACTTCTTTTTCAGAGAGAGAGAGAGAGAGCAAATATTGTGCCAAGTAATTGAAAGGGAGCTGATGAAGTGAAATAAAATAAAGTGCCCCCTGGCTGCGGAGGGGAGGGGAAGGGTGGTGGTGGGGGATTGTAAATAAATGTCAATAACAGGCAAGGTATTGCACACACGACTTGCTACATTTTATTAGTTATTTTAGAAATATGGTAGATTTTAGTACGGATTCCCAGAAGTCGGACTTTATGACGCAAACAAACAAAAACGGCAGAGTTTTTGTTTCTACTCACCTCCACCTGATGGAAAAAGCAAGTAGCAAACTGCTCATAAAGTGAAGAATTGAATAATAAATTATAAATTAGGGTAGAGTAAAAGAGCAAAGTGTGTTGTTTAACCTGTAAAATATATTATTATTACGAAGGCAGGATTGTTCAGGATTTATGATACAAGAAAGAGCTCAAATTCGGAAAAACAGACTGTATTAAATATTTATGTGTTTATTTGGGTGGGAGGAGGAGGTAATTTTCGACTGATTTTTCGTCTGCCAAGGAGGATGGATTGATGTAAATAAAGTGAATAACTGAATAGCAAGTAGGAACAGAGAGGAAGGAAGGAAGGAGTGAAAAATTGGTCTGAACTTCAAAAGTCACCGGATTTCAGGGAGGGGTTTGATTTTTACTTTGAGAAAATTTGTAGTTTTTTCCCCGACATTTCAAAATACACAAAAAATTTTTATACAAATTTCTCTCCTTTAAGATACATTTTCTGAAATTTTTATAAATTCCTCTCTTTTAACTTTAAGATTTGATCTTTACAACGTTGCACCTCTCATGATTGCATTTGTCTCATTTGACTCGGCTTTCCCTTATCGCCCTCGAGATCACCAGGAACATGAGACCGCTCACGGTTTACTACGTGTTAAGCACGTTGTAATAATCTTGTTATGTGTATTTACGTGTAAATCAGTGCTGCTGCTGCTGCTTAATCACTCCCATCTCAACGTCTCTATCTACAAAGTTCTGGTTTCCTCCTCCTCTCTCCAAGAGTGAAGGAAGGGTCATAGGTTACAAATAACTAAATATGTATGGAATAAAGTTGTAGATATTTCTTCCACTTTTTTCCCTCCTCCTGCTTAACTAAATAACTCGTTAAGTAAATCAAGAGTGACGAGGTAACTGACTACCGGATTTCAACTGTCTGTCCATCCTATCATTTGGGCAAATCAAATCAGTCCGCTGTCATGTCAGTCAGTCGCTGACTCGTTCAGTCATTTTTTTACACTTTATTATCCTTCATTACATTATTTTATTAGGTTTACGTACGTCCATACACGACGAGGGGGAGAGAGAGAACGATCTTGATTCAATCAGTGGCAATTCAACCAATCTGCTTAATGTTGGGATTTAGGGACAATTTTATTTTATTATTTTACTCCATGAACCACTTTGGTGGTGGTATAATTTGATTTATTAGGCGGATTTTGGGCGAGGAAATAGCTTAAAACGCACTTAATTGCGGCGACAGGAGGAGGAAAATTGCTGTACTTAAAATGCGCTGCGATTTGTCAATTGTCATCAGCCTTGCCACGTGGGTTACGTTTACGCATTTTATTTGCCACATGCCTAAACCCTGCGTAATAATACTCAGAATTATGCATATTATGTTGCCGACTGCATATTTATTATTGTTACCACGTTGGTTGGGTTGCATGTATGCATTCATTTACAACCCATTAAACTAAAGGGTTGACTACTAAAGCTGTGTCAGATCTCTGTTTCTCCCCTCGAATTCTGTCTCAAATTCAATAAATGTCAGCAGAGTTGTAATAATAATGTGGGTTATGCGGAACCACCACATTATTAAAGTTGGAAATACATATTTATGTAAAAATTTTAGATGAAAATGATTGATTTTTTGCTACCCTTTTGTCTTCTCTCTTTGTTTAACCGCGTGTATATAGACTTACTTGTCACCCATCGAATCAGAATTTTGATTGTGAGTGTGAAGGACTTTTCACATTTTTGGAGTGTTTCTCTCTCCTACGAGAACCCCACCCTCGTCTATTTTCTTGAGATCAATCACATCAAATCAATCATGTAACTTGTATAACATCGGAAAAAGGAGGGTGCGTACGTACGTGGCCAAGGATGTCTGTAAGGACTAAATAAGCACTTATCTCCGCGTACGTGTCACTCATCCCTGCATACACTCAATCTTGTCCAAAAAAATGAATGTGGGGCATTTTGAGACGGACAAAATTGACATTTTACTTTCTCCAGAGGAGAGAAAAAAAATCTCATAATTTTTGCACATGCACAATTGCGTTACACATTACGCTAACATTACACAATGAGAAGAAGAATAATACAAGAAAAGAAAAGAAAATGCATCTCGACTCCTATTCAATTCTGTGAACACAATGCAACCATGATGATGATGATGATGGCACACAATGCGATACGACGATATACAAAAGTGTGTAATGTAAGTAATTTGATAGGAAAGCAGAAGAAGAATAGTGATGCATTCGTGGATAATTGCAAGAGTCTGTTTTTGCCCATGTTTCTCCAACCATTTAACACCTGGGTGATGTTGTAATGTGATATTTTATTTATGAGGAGGTGAAGATGAGAGTGTGTAAAAGGAAGTGTATTATTTATTATAATATAATCGTGATAAATGACTAGTTCACATATACAACAGACGTGTGTAACCTTGCCACAGAAATAATAAATATGGTACTAATTTATTAATGTATGTTAGTGAGGAAGTAAGTCAAGTTGGACCATTTGTGTAAACGAGTGAGACAATATTTGCCAAAGAGACAATGTCATGATCGTGGCATTTTCCTGGGTAAATTTGCTTGCATAGCTGGTTAGTGGAGAGGGATGCGATTTGGACATGTTTTTTGGCAGAAAAACTCTAGTTAAATCCGAAATAACGTTTTCTGGGAAGGATTTACATACTTTTAAATTCTTTATTTTTTCGTATGCTTTTGAATTTTTACTTTTTCCAGTTTTTTATTCATTTAATTTCCCGTGTTTCTTTTTCTCTTGGAAAAATGATGCAAAATGATATAACACGTGTCTATTTATTGCTTTTTTCCAAATAGGGCCGTGCACATGAAGGAGCATCCCGATTACAAGTACCGACCTCGCAGGAAGACCAAGACACTCCTGAAGAAGGACAAATATCCGATGAACGGTCCCCCCGGTGGCGTCGGGCAGGGTCACCACCAACAACAGAACCAAGTTCAAAGCAATGGCGGCCTAATGGACCCGCATCATCCCGCTGCTCATCCCGGTAATCAAGGTAAGAATTTTGTATACTTAATTCGTCCAAGGGGGTCGGAATTAATGTTTCCGTTTCTCAGGCGGAAGTCGTAATTCGAGCAATGGTCCCGGCTCAGGGGGAAGTTCGGGAGGGAGTAACTCCTCCTCGTTAAGCCATCATCACCAAGGCGGCGGTGGTGGCGGGGGAGGAGGTGGAGGCGGCGCCGGTGGGGGTGGTGGACCCCCCTCACATCACAATCTTAACCCCAGAGACCTGTACTCGCATCAAGCAATCAATGGCTACATGCCGAATGGATATGCCCTCATGGGAGATCCCACCGCTTATTCGGGTAAGTCCAAGAATAAAATGCATCACACCACTATAAAATTAAAATTAGTTGCAATATTTTTCTGGGAATTTTATTTTTTACGTAAAAAATCCTAATAATTTCCCACTTTTTATGCGCCCACAGAGTACATGGAAAACTTGTCAAGGACTTATGGAAAGGCTGCCTTTTACGACCAAGAATCCGGTAAGAGAGATACATCCTTGCATATCATTAAGTATTAATAATTACCAACTTTTTCCAACCACCGCTAACTAACTCGCACTATAATCTTATCACCACCACCACCACCATTCGACATGATCTGGTCAAATCTAAAGAAAGAAAAATGAGATGACATTTTTTAAGCTGTAACCCGATTGGCAAAGGCTCATTAAGAATTTCCATCCATCCATCCCTCATCAAGTAGATAGAAAAGAAGGAGCTTTTTAAGAGGCTGGCTCGGCTTGGCTGGTGTAGTTCCCATAAAAGGCTTACCAACCAAACCGCACCACACATCATTACTGCCATGACTTGAAATTTGTGAGATGATGTGACAGCCCAAAAACTATTGATTCAAGGAGGAGAGAAAGACAAAAAATGATGAGTGAGGTTGCAATAATAAGTAATAAACTGGGCAAGATACATAAACTCCACTACACATCACATAAACATCATTAATTACTCGTGTACTGCTACACACCCGACCGACAAGACCAGACCACCAAATAACTAAACCACACGACGACCAATATCATGCATTTCATGATGAAGTGACGTGATCTGAAATAGTGTATGAATATATTTCGATGTTAATTAATCATTCTTCACTGCGTGTGAAGCAATCTCCTATCTGCGGCTCCTGCCAATAATATCATTTAAAATAACATGGTGCTTGATCAATTGATGGTAGGTTTGCATATTCAAATTCGAGAATTTTATAGGCAGTCATGTTCTTGGTTAACTCCCATCTAGATAGTGGATTTAATTGAATTTAAAATATTGCAAGTAATTGCATGCATTGCATACCCTTCGTCACTCACAACATCTGTTTTATGGAGATGATTTCTGTAGAAAAAGTCAAATATTTCATGCGAAATGGAAGCAGGAACAGGTGGTTTAAAGTATTTTTACACATAGCAAACTATTCAGCGGAACGAATTCATTCATTCAATTCATCATCAAAACAAAATTTGGTGAGACAAGGTCCAATCCAATCGTCTTGACGTAAAATATTTAAGCAGACAAGGCCGCAAGTCAATATTATTTGCGAATTGGATATTAGGTTGACGTGCTAATTATGTGAGAGTGGTAGACGTGAGAAATATTTTTCACGTGTGCGTACGTACATTATGAGCTAATTATTAAGACAGTTTATGCCACCAACGAACCAACCACCGTCATTTATTACTTTGTGAATGTCCTTTTGTCTTTGATCTGCAAGATGCGAACCGACAGAGTCCAAATTCAATTAGGATATTGTAAAATGGTTGCAGTAACTTGTATGCATGCGTGTATTACAAAGTTCAAACTAGTTTATACCGGAAGTTTTGTGGGGCTTATTGTAATAACATATTTGCAACTGGACCATACTTCCGGTCTGTGCTGTGTATACATACAGAGTTTTTCGTTAATGTGCATGATATGAATTAATTCTTGGTTTAAAATTTATTACTTATGCATGCATTCCAGTCGACATAAGTAAAATATGCGTCGCAAAAAAAATATCATACATATTTTCCATATTTTCACCCTAAATCATAATCATGACGGTATTATGCATTGCTAAAAAAATGTGGTGAAATTGTCTCAGAATTTATTACGGAGTAGTTACCGAGCAGATTTATCGTTTCATGTTTTACATTTGCTGAATGAAATGAATGGACTTAACGCAGGGAGCAAATGATCCAAATAATTAGCGTTTTATTATTTATTTATTTATTGTAATTGGCCGGGTTCTGGTCTCTGGTATTTTTTTTGGCTGCTCACTTTTTAATGAGGTTCACGAACGAATATGTAAATGATGTAGTCCGAGATTTATTTCCGCCGTGGGTAGGTAGGAGAGGAGACAGAAGCTGAAAAAGGATTTATTTATGTGCTTGGTTTAATACTTACATGTGCAACTTGTTGAATAAGAGAGAGAGATCCCACTTTATGAGACGACTTGAAACTAAACGCCCACTAATTCCCAATTTCAATTACTTGGTGGGTGAACATTCATATGAATGCATTTATTTATTGGGTGGATTGTTGGATTTGTTTAAACAAGAAGTGAATATTATGAACGATCAGATCGTGTCTGGTGGTACTGTAACATCATTTTTCTACCTTTTTTACTGGTTGGAATAAGTTTCTCAACTTTAAAAATTCTTATACTGATTTTTTATTATCCTCTGTATCTTCCAGGCTACATGAATCCCCAAATGTACTCGCGGTACGAGATGTCCCCCGCGTCCGCCCCATCCATGACTTCTTCACCATATCTCAACGGCTCGTACGCCATGTACTCGTCGACAGGGTCAACAACGCCGGTAGGGTCGTCGTCCGGGGGTGGAAATTCAGGTGGGGCACCTCCTCATTCGGCTCCCTCTCCGTACGGCGGTATGGGCTCTGTCTCTTCCGTAGCCTCTTCCGGTGGCGGGTCACCCACACCGCCAAAGTCCCCCAGTAACAGTAATAGTATGCAGCATAGCGGTATGCCTGGTGGGGGTAATTTGCATTCGCCCCCATCCTCCATCTCCTCCCACCACTCCTCCCACCAACACATGTCCCCCCCACCGCACCACCTCATGGCGGCCGCGGCTGCGGTCGCGGCGGGAAAGCAAGGTGTTGGTGGTTATCATCAAGGGAGCGGGGGTCCTCAAGGAGGCGATCTGAGACAAATGATCTCTATGTACTTGCCCCCCCATCACCAGGCGCATCATCCCCACCACCAACCACCACCACCACACCCACACCACCATCCTGGCTTGGATCATCACAGTCTTAACGTACATAATCCCTACCCCACGCCAAGTCCTGACCAACAATTGCAGCAACAGCAGCAACATCAGCAGCAGCAGCAGCAACAACAGCAAAATATGGCACATTTGGCGTAGTTTTTCTCATATATTTACATATATAACTTTTAGATTTTCGAAGTATTTGACTAAATTACGAATCTTCTTGTGGTGGTGGTTTGGTTTGGTCGGTCGGTGTGGGGAGAAGAGCTGGTCGTCGGAGGGAGTAAAGGAGAAGAAGGAGTTTGATTTAATCAAACAAATTAGATTAAGAAGGAAGGAAGGAATTAATTTGATTGAGGAGATTAAGAGAATTGTATTTAGTCCGAGGAGCGGAAAAGGGGCGATAAACTAGAAGTCATATCAAATCTCTTCTCTCTGCCTCGACGACTAACTAACACTTGTCCTTGTACTTGTACTGTATAATTCTAAAATATTACACTAAATGTCCCCTCGTGTTGGTCGTAATCTTCGTTGCCGTAATGGTGGTTTGGTTTGGTTTGGTAAATGTCGGGATGATGGTGGTGGGTGTGGTGTGGGTGAGGATGTTCTCCCTTAAATTTCTACTTATTTTTCCCCCCGTGCACGAATTGCTAGCTAAAAAACAAATATGCACAAATTTTAGCAGTAAAAAAAACAGTGAAATAAAGCAAAAATCGCCCTCTTTCTTTCTTCCAGGGTGAGTGAGTGAGAGAGAGTGTGAGAAAATTATGTCAATGTGTTCCTCTCTCTGCTTCTGCTCCACCACAACCACACCCATCCATCCATCCAGGACGACACTGGGCCCCACCAACCACCACCACCAACCGGTGATTCACCTTCACTTATCAAACTAATTTTAGACATAGAATATCTATTAATGAATGATGAAATTATGATAAGCGCATTATTCAATCATTTCTAAATAGTACAGAATATAGGGTTTGATCATTCTCGTTCGTTTTATAAATTCATTGCTCAATTAAGGATGGATTAAATGTTATTATGGTTTCGTCGTCAGTAGTGGAATTATGATTTTACGTAGAGAATTTACGTAATTTATGTGTCGATATCAAGTAAAATACGGAATTATTAGAGAAGAGACAAAAACCTACTAATTTTATTTGATCTCAGTTTATTTAGAGTTTCTGGTTTTTGGTTGGAGAAAGTAAAAATATGAGAATTTGTTACGTGTAAAGAGGAGGAAGAGAAAGTTTTGTAGGTTGTTTTATGTACGTGTGAATAGGGGCACCGCTGAAGAGGTCATGTCATGATACGATGTCACTTTTATTGTGGTATTTAGTTAATTATTCAAGAAAATAAACAATTTAAAGTTATTAACTTTATAATTATTAAAAGACTTTTCTGTGATTTAATTAATTCATTTAGCTTAAAACGGAGAGAGTAATAACTTTTAAATAGAAGCAGCTTATTTAACGATATTTAAGAGCACAGCAACAACAATTATCATGATAAAATAATAATAATAACTAATCAATCAATCAGAATCCAATCCAATCCGTATTAAATATTTACAAACTTAGAAAGAAACCCATCATCTCATCCCGGTGTTTAAGAATTTAAATAATTATTAATAACACCCCCAGAATTTTTTCTAGTTCTTTTTTTAAAATTTGAACTTTTTGACCTATTTTCTACCCGTAAAAGCACACCCAATATTCTACACGCTAAATAAATTTGATCAAAATTTACTCAAGGTTGAGTAAAATTTGCGATGACACAACTGGTTGTGTATAATTTACCAAATGAAAGTTAAAATTTATCCAACGTTGTAGAAATTTCGCACAACCTTGAGTAAATTTTATCTTTGTTGAGTAAATTTTGCACAATCAATTGTGTCATCGCAAATTTTACTCAACTTTATTTAGAGTGTACCCTTAACAAATAATTAATCGATAATTAATTAATTAACCAATGTTAGAATTGAATTTGACATTTCAACATTCAAGACCGATCCAGTATTATGAAATAGTTTATAGTTTTTCCAAACGCCCCGCACGATGAGAGAAGAAAACGTACAAAAAAGTATTTAGTAGTCGAAATCTCGGGGTTCCTTTCTTTTTTTGCTACCTATAATGCCCACTTTTTTTGTTGCAAAAATCTTCTAAATCTCCCCTTAATGGTGCAAATTTTTAAAGAATTGCCAACTATTGTCAGATCGCGATCGTATACGAAGAATAAGGAAGAATATTAAGCTAATTAACTAACTAACTAAATAAAATTTAGATCAACCAAACCACCGAGTTTATAACGAGACAATTTTTAGTAACTCTTTTGAAAATATTTCATAAAATCTCTCATTTTTTCTCGAAACGAATCTCGAGTAGTTTTCTATAGGGCCTAAAAAAATAATCACTGTATAATAAAATCCATACCTTTTTTGATGACAGTCAAATCACGTAATAAATACATAAATATTCTCTTTTTATCAAGTTCTACTATTGCCCCAGACAAGAAAAAGAATCATCAATCTCACTATCATAAATAACACTATTTGTAAGTAAAATTACATACATAAATAGTTTCATCCAGTCTTAAATACTATTAATTAATTAATTATTAATACTAATATTTAATTTTTGACTCTGCCTATTTATTAATAAATTGTATATATATCTGTAAATACGTACGTATTATATGGAGGAAAATAACTTATTTATTCATACATTCATCCATCATCCCAAGAAAGATGACCAATTAGTTAGTCGTGTAACTAATCCTAAAATATGTATTTAAAAAATATGTGTAAAATTGTTATGAATTTTCTTATTTTACGGACAAATAAATTGTAAAAACTTGTCGCATTGTATTACATAAAAAACAACAAACACTTGGCGTAAAAAACCGGATACATAAGTTTAGCGATTGCTGTACATTATTTGTGGAGGCGAAAAAAAGTGGACAAGTAAGGAAAATCATGAATATACATAACTTGTTCATAAATCGATGGACTGTTAATTAATTAATTATTAATTAATTACTGAATTATTTCCTAGTTTTATTTACACCCTAAATAACTCTAGATTACAAAATAGTTGGTAAAATACATACATAAGTTTGGTAAATATTTAAGCGACGACGACGACGACGTGAGAAACAACAAAAGATAACATGTTACTGTTTCATGTCAGTGCAGAACATGAAGAAATTCATGGTGATTTATAAAATAAAAAAAGATGATGATAAAGATCAGAGAAATTTGAGTGTTTGTATAATAATTTCATATTTTTTTTCAAAATGCGAATATTTCACGAATATTTATTTCACGGGGACGGTTCTTTTTTCATGTAAAATACACAAATAAAATTTCCGACTGGTAGCTGACACCGTGACCGTGACACTAAATAAGTCACGCCATCAATCAGCTTGTCCCCACGTCCAATTGCTGCGACTACCTGGATTGGATTGGATTGGATGGATTGATGTGTACAATTTTGTAAAAGTAAGCACCTGGACGAAATAAGAAGTAAGTACGACGACGACCAGTGGCCGCGGAAGCTGTGGGGACATCTGGGGACATTAGCATTGTAGGATAGGGGAGGGAGGGGTTTATATAACATGGGGAGATGATGCGGACATCTAATAACCGTGGGGACATTGTCCACACCCTTCCGCGGCCACTGGCAACGACGATGACGACGGTTCTTGAATTATTTACAGCATTGCATCCATCCAGTCCACCACATTCGTCACCCATAATTCTTGTTCGTATGGTTTGCTGGTAGATAGCTTTTTTGTCCACATTTTGTTGCCGTGCACAGTTTGTCATCGTCAATTTAGACATGGAATGAGAGCGTACGCATAGCCATGTCTTTTTATGGATCGTTTTTATCCGAGGAGGAGGAAGAAGAAGCTGTCGATGGTGCTGGTTTGGTTCTCTGTTGGTAATTATTTCTAAATCGTGGCACTTTTTGTTTTACGAGAAACAAGTCGTGACTCTAATTTCATTCCGCTTGTCTTGTCTCCTCACAAATATTTTCAGGTAAGTAAGGTAACTTACCCGCAGACTTTTGCTGGCATACCAAGAATAACACAATTCATTGCATCCATCCATTTCCATTACGGGAGAAGAGGAGGAGGACAGAATAAGACGGGCTGCCTAGGCCCAATTAATTTGAGATAATGGTGATGATGATGACGCGCAAAAAAGTGGCTAAAGATATGCACGCATAAGTATGTATTGTCGATAGATAAGTAAAGTTGAAGGAATTTAAATCAATCCTGATACATACATACGCATCATCAGGCTGGACTTAGGAATTCTTGACGATTTCCAACTTTCTACACGTCATTATGTAAATATGTTATGTGGTCAAATAATTTCCTCATAATTGGTGGCGAACAGGTGGTGGCGTGGCATGGTGATGGTGTGAGTTTTGATGATAAAAAGTGCAACTAAACCAAGCACATCCATCATCACTTAATAAGAAAGAAGAAGGAAAGAAATGAAATGAAATGGTAAAAAAAATTTGAGTGAATTTCTTTTATCCGAGTCTTGATTTCTTCTACGTACGTAGAAAAGACGCTGCAAAAAGAACGCGAGTTAAATTGAAGGTGACCTGACACGCAGGTAGTAAGTAAGCACATAAAATCATTCCGTCATCTCAGTCCAGTGGCCGCGGAAGAAGCTGTGGGGACATTAATATTGTAGGATGGGGGGAGGGAGGGGTTTATATAAGATGGGGAGATGATGGGGACATCGAACAACCGTGGGCACATTGTCCCTCTGTCTTCCGCGGCTACTAATTCTGGCTCCGCTAATAGATATCAAGCACTTCTTCTTCGTCCATGTGAAATCTCTTCCACCTTCTCGTTAAGTATTTCATTTTGAATTTCCACCACTTTTTTTGTCCTCCTCCTTCTCCACGCCATGCAGTCTGGAGTAACTTTGTCGTCGCCGAAATGACTGTCATATTTCAAACTGAAGGGCCACTACTGGACTTTTGAGTCAAAAGGGTCTTGCGACATCAACGAGGTACACAATAGAAGTGTCCATCCATCCATCTGTCAGCTGCCGAGAGGAAGAAAACCTTGCCTTGTGCATGTCCTTTAAATTTTTCTTACTTTTATTTTATAGACTCCACGATGTCCGAAGACTGGACATACCTTCACATTTCTCTCAGGCTAATATTTAGTATAGGATTGGATTAGATGAGACACGCCGTGGTAGGTTTATGTAGAAGAAATTCTAGTACAATACGGTACGGAACACGGTAGTTTATATATTTTTATGTTATTTTTCTGGCCTGGGGGTGGTCTCTAGTTTTTGGTCCTTACCCAAAATCTGTAAAATTTTGTGTATTTTATTTCATTTTACATCCCTTTCCTTACCTTTCTCTGGGTTGATCCTTTGTTTAACTAACAGATTTATGTACATCCTCCTTCTTCTTCCTACCTGGTTTTTGGTTTTCATTCATTCTTTCCTTCACGTGTTTCTGTATCCTAACCTATTGTGTCCTAGTGAAGTGGATGGATGGATAGATGGATGGATGCCAATTTGTGACATGACGAGAAGAAGGGCATGACGATGATGACATGACATGACAGCTCCCCCGATGTCGGAGGTCTTTACAGATTAGGCTCATTTTTGAGGAAATTCTTGTGGCTTGTAATTCCTCATAATTCTAAGTGATCTATTCCTGTTATTTACTTACTTCTTACCTGTTGCGGTGGGATGATGGGTGCTCTGCTCTGCTCATTAGAGACATTTCTTGTATGTAGAGTGTCATCCATTTCGGACCTGTTTGTGGCATTATTAGGAGAAGGAGAAAATATCTGTGTCTTTGTCACTTTGACTTGCATTTAATGTTATTCTGTCAACTCTCTCGTCGTCCTTGTCGTTCGTGGAGGAGGATAAGGTTTGATTTTCTGCCTGTCCTACAGCACCCCCAACCCGACGACAAAACTTCGTTTGACGACATCGGAAGTTATACGAGAAGGGCGACCCGTTTCGTGATTGACAAGTCCATTTATTTCTTATTTATCTCGAAATTATTTCGCCCCCACGAAAACCACCAGCCAGCCAGACCACCACCCCTATTACGAAACATCACTGACTGACCAACAGATTTTGTCCGTAAGTAAAAGTCCGACAGCCAGGAAAGTTCGGATAGTGATCCGTCCGTGGCATTTTCCGGAATGAAAGATGACATGGTAAAACAAGGCACGAAATCAAACTAAATGTCACCACATCATGCATCATCATCACTCCTCTGGCATCATCATCATCCATCAATCTACCCCGTTCTGGAGGAGATAACAACTAATTGAAACATTTGAATTTGGTGGTGTCTCGTTTCCTCCTCGGCTGATCAACCTTGTCGTCGTCATCGTCGTTTCGTAATGTGACGTGCGATGGTTTGGATTCTGATTCTGGGAACGTGACGACGATGACTTCTCCTCCAACCAAAGTTAATTGAATGAGGGGGAAGTGGAAACCAAAACGGAGAATGGAATCCTGTCCCGGAGTAAAGAAGAAGCTATAAAACTAAAAAGTCTAACTTATAGAGAGAGGAGTCAAGTCAAGTCGGAATTGGATGGGAGGATTGGATCAGAAATCTTCTCTGGCCGAATTTAAAGTGATGCCAACAACCATATGCCAAGAAGAGTGGTGGGGTCAGTGGCCGCGGAAGGGTGAGGGGACAGAGGGACAATGTCTCCAGGGTTGTTCGATGTCCCCATCTTATGTAAACCCCTCCCTCCCCCATCCTACAATGTTAGCGTCCCCCGATGTCCCCACGGCTTCTTCTGCGGCCACTGCGTGGTGTGGTGTGAATGCAGTAAGTAATCCTTGTTGAATGTAATGGCGGATTGGATTGGATCCCTTCAATTTCAATTCGAATTCTCCTCTCTCTCTATTTTTCGTTTCGGAAAATAGTGTGTGCTGTGCATGCTTCGTGTCTAAACTGCCAAACTGGAGGAGAATCCGGAATGATCGTGGTGCTGGAGAGAGGCTTTGAATTGGACCAATTTTGAGAAGAGAAAAGACTGCACTAATTCAATCTGGACACTTTTATTTTATTTTATCATCTTCCCTCTAATAAATGGATCTCATGACCTGGGCACACAAATTATGGGAAAAAAGGGCAACGAGTCTTTTTTTGGCTGGGTGGCGTGGCGTGGGGACGGGATAGCGTGACAGGAATTGGGCACTGAGGAAAATTGAATTGAATAGATGTAATGTGTAGGATTGATTTTTAGTTAGGGGATGAATATAATATGGAAAATTTTGTGAAAAAAGGGGGTGAGATCATAGGTCACAGGTAGTGCGAATTTCGATTAATTGTTAAAGACTGCAATAAGTGTAAATTCGCATTTTTGCATCAAACTCGAAATTTACAAATTAGATGGCCTTCCTTTGGCATCTAAATAACATATTACAAAATATAACTTTCTCATTAATTAAGTATCGTCATCAAACCTATACAATTTTAAATAAATCTCTGTTTATCCATTTCCACTCCTCTAATCCTAAGGTTGACAACTTATTTTTCCCAAAAAATATGTTTCCCTAATAATAATAATTTCCAACTTTTCCTCTTAACGGGTGGGTGGACTGGACGGGAAGAAGTTATCCCTCTCTCTCCGTATTTGTTTGGTTCGTACATACTCCGGACGGATGTTGGCTTAAGAAGAGAAGGAGAGAGAAACCGAGAAAGCAAAAAAAAACAGAGAAAGGAAACCTTTTAATTTTGAAAAATCGGGGAAAACATCCCAAGAAGCAGAAGGAAAGGAAGTAATGTGGAAAGTAATAATGATGATGATGGTTATCGTCCCCGTCCCTTCGCGCTCTGGTCGGTTTTCGGTTGCGTTTTCAAGAACAAGACGAAGCAAAAGGCAAGGCAAACTGGGAGCAAATTCAAACCAGAAACCAAAACCAACTTACAACTAGAACTACCTTTTCCTTGGTGGTAAGTAAGAGAGCGAGGAGGATGAGATTTATGAGTCAGTTTCATTCTTTCACTTGTCCATAATGACTTATAGCTTTTTTTCTCTCTCCATTCTCCATTTATTTCCTTTCCTCCTCCTCCTACTCCCCACATTCCAAACTCGTACCGTTTTTTTGTACGAAGCTCCCTCACTATTTTATTTTTCTCCAATTCTGTGCCAAATTTACAATTGGTCTCTGGGAGAAGAAGAAGGATTCACTTCTTGCAAAGAATTCTACTTTACTCCTTTTAATCACTGGATTGAGAGCC